AACCACAATACTGTTTTTCACCGTGTGAGTGAGGTTACCTGAGGCCCAAACCTTCCCCTCACCTAATGTGGCCAAAGTGTGGGAGAGCCATGCTTCGGCACGAATGGGTCGGCTCGACCGGAGTGATACCACGGCCTCACAGAAAACCGGCGTGAAATAACCACTGCGTTGTGTTTCGCCGTGTGAGTGTGGTTACCGGAGGCCCAATCCTTCCCCTTTCCCAATCCCTCCTCAATACCTAAATCTCCAAATCCCTAATCCCTAAAAGGTCGGCAACGCACTCGTAACTCCTCCGTTGCGAGTGTCGATGGGCGGCGCTGATTGCTTACCATCAGGTAATCCGTGTGCTCGTTTGCCGACCTATTACATAAAAAAAAATACCTCCCAATATCTAAACCCCCCAATCCTAATCACCAAAAGGTTGGAAACGCACTCTTAACTCCTCTTTAACACAGTTCCACTAAAATTAGTGTTATACCTAATTGTCATTTGTTTTTTAAATTGTTGGGGCTTTTTTCCTGGTCTCACCATATCATCACACTTAAACAACTTATAACACAAAACTAGTACAGTATAAGTAAGAAAAAACTACAGAATTGTATAAAACAGACTAATTAATAGTTTACTAGGAACCGAGAGTAGGCTAGCGTGAAGAGTTTGCACGTAATCGGTCAACGACACTGCGATTGTAGCTGTTACATTGTGTTAGCAGATATGAATGAACGGCTTCGTGCATACGTGAATGATTCAAACAGGAATATAGATATTACTTTTATAGGTACTAATCAATGAACAATTAAGGCTTCAATTCATCTTTTGGTTGGTCGCACATAACAAGGAAACCCGATATTCGATGGAGCAAAAAGGATCGAGAATAGAGGCTACATCACGGAAAGCGCAGCGAAAGACGTCCACTCAGTAGGCGGATAAACAGACGACCTAATGAAGGTCAAAGGTTGCTTCTAAACGGGAAAGACTTTGAGGAGATCATTTTTCAGCTTTCAACGTATTGTAAATGAAATGGTATTTTTTTACTAGCATACACGTAACTCGATGAAATGCTCCGAAACTCGATGAAATCAGCGCCACAACACTAGAATAGGAGTAAGTGCGTAGTGCCCGCGTTTAAGGGTTGTTAGGAATTTTAAGTTTGGAAATTTCACTCTGGTTTTCTATAAGTAGGTATAATATATGTATTTATGGCGGTATCTGAATGACAATGAATTAGAATGTTGATTGAAATATGGAGTGGAGTAGTATATTGTGGTTTTAGAGGTATTAAGTACAGTGCAACTAAGAATAATAATTTAAAGAAAAAATAAATTCAATAATAAACTTCTAATAAGAACGCGCTTAATATAATTTATAGCATTCCAATTTAATCACTGAATAACGAGGTTTTTTTTTAAGTTTACTTAGTATAAATATCTACATATACTGTTAGCTAATCCATTGAGGAAAAAGCAGGTGTCAGAAGTCTCGCGTTTTACCGTATAAAAATAAATATAACATCAAGTTCTAGGAAATTTCATGGCATATTATCTGATCTGTTTTTGAAACACTGCTCAGCAATGATTCCGGAATTCCAAGAACCTAATGAATAATATTATGATTAAATCTCACATTGACGAGACACAAGATATTTCTCGGAAAATTGACCAATACTTAGGTAGTATTAAATTAAAGTGATGCAAGGTCGTAAAAGACAATAGAAAATTGTTAAGTACTTAATTTTGTTTAGGTTCAAAAGCTGGAAAGTATCGTTCTGACTTTTTCTAATTGTTCATAATGTTCTTTCTTAAATTATTTAGACACAGGTGACAGATCGAGAAGAAAAAAAAATCAATTGAGGTAAAGTGGACATTATAATTATTTTTACTTACCATAAGTTTTGTAATCACTAAATTGCCTTCAGCAAAACGTGGTGATTGATATTAAAACTTTATGTGGGTAAAGAGGCAAGGTGCCCAGAAATAGGCACTTACAGACTGATGTGTAATGTGAAATTATAAGCATTGACGCATGGTCTTGAATTGTATAAGAATTTTTTAAACGTCGAATATGTTTTTTTTATTTATAATTATAATTGCCATCGGAATATTTTGCGATCTTTCGAAGGCTTTTGACTGTGTTGAGCACGAAACGCTATTACTGAAGCTGCAACACTACGGCATTCGGGGGGTATCCCTAAATTTATTAAAATCATACCTTCTAGAAAGACTTCTTACAGTACAAGTAAACAGAGTAAACTCCCAGGGTGCTAGCGTATCTATGGGCGTACCGCAGGGCTCAATATTGGGTCCATTCCTATTTTTGGTTTATGTCAATGACCTGCCCCATTTATTCCAAAGTGAACCGCATATGGTATTATTCGCTGATGACACATCCTTGATTTTTAAATTAAATAGACGATCAAATAACTATGACGAAGTGAATAATGCCTTAACGAAAGTTCATAATTGGTTCACAAAAAACAACTTAGTACTTAATGATAAAAAGACGAAATGCATTAGATTTATTTTGCCAAATGTTAAAAGTAACGTATGCGATGATATATTATTAAATGGTCAGAAACTGGAATTTGTAAAGGAGACCACATTTTTGGGGATTACTGTAGACGACAAGCTGCAATGGGGGCCCCACATTAGATCTCTAGCAGGGCGGTTGAGCTCGGCAGCTTATGCTGTCTGGAAGATCCGTCAGCTAACCGACGTAGGCACGGCACGACTAGTGTACTTTAGCTACTTTCACAGCATCATGTCGTATGGAATTCTGTTGTGGGGACAGGCATCCGACGTTGAGTCTATCTTTATCTTACAAAAGCGTGCAGTCAGAGCTATCTATAACTTAGGTCGTCGCGAATCTCTCAGAGAAAAGTTTAAGGAGATCAACATTATGACCGTACCATGTCAATATATTTATGAAAACATTATGTATGTTAGGAAAAACCTACAGCTATTTGTAAAAGTATCTGACAAGCATGACTATCTTACTAGACATAGAAATAGATTAAGTCAGCCTTTATTTAGATTAGCAAAAGTGCATAAGTCGTTCATGGGATTATGTGTTAAATGTTATAATAAAATCCCAACTGAAATACAAAATCTTAATGAAAGTAAATTTAAATTATGTATAAAGAAAGTATTATGTAGGAAAGCATACTACAAACTAAATGATTATATAGAAGATAAAAATGCTTGGAGGGTGGCTGGTTTGACTGCACAGGATAAAAATTGTTAAGGTTAAGAGGAATTTTGATCTCAATTATTAAATTATTCACCATGTTGTTGATTGTTGATAAACTGGATTTTTGTAAATGTGAGAGCCCTGTAACTTATTATAATTGAGTTAGACTTATAGACTTATAGTATATTGGTACTTGTGTCAGTTGGGTGTTGTCATGCTCACTCAGGAGTCTCATTGGCGGTGGCACGGGCACTGGACCGCTCGGTTCCCTATAATATGGTTGAGTTGGGCGGTGCTGGTGTACGTGTCATGTTCGTGAACGGACGCCGCCTATTGGGACTGGTCAACTCGAGACTGTCTAAAGTTGCTGTCCCTGAGGGTTATTTCTTTTTCGGATACTTTGGTTAAACACTAGTGTTACACTGTTCTCACATAATGGAGCTATCTAAATTATGTAACAATGTATTGTAAAAAGTGATTGAAAAAGAGTAACCATGGAGTTTCTTGCTCGTTCTTCTCCATAGGAATCTACACTTTGGAACGAGCAAATAGCTTCACTAGAGGACAGACGGACAGACTGACACATAAAGTTAAACCTTATGATATCTTTTTTGCTTGACGTTCAAAAGTGCCTTTTTTGGTCTATTTGAAATAAAGAATTTGATTTGATTTGATTTGATTGATTTATGTAAAAAAAACTATTTTATAGTTTTAAATAAGTTAAGGCAGCAAAACGCCTGACGCTTGTGACTTCTCCGATGTTGCAATTGTCCACTTAGGTACCATCAGGTGATACGTATGTTAGTTTTCCTAATATTGCATTAACAAAAATTGAGTTGCAAAATGGGGATTAATCTACATAATGTAAGTCAATACAGATTTTTTTAGTCAATTTTATTTAATGGGAAGCTATAATTAATAAACCCTATCTAATTCAAGTTACATACCAACTACAAACCTTTATAGAAAAAAGTAATATAGATAAGAAATTCTTTGAGCAATGATAATTTTTATTTTTCATTCGTACCTATATTTTCTGGAAACATCTGCCAGATATTCTTTTTATCCTTTGATAATGGCGGGTTTACAGTAATATTGTTACGTAAATCCTTATTTTGATCTGAATCCTTTGAAAATTTGAATATTCACATGGTTTCTTTACCAACATTTTGAATCTAATCTAGGTTTGACATATATTTTCTTTTTACACAAACATAAAATGAGACACGCTTTAAATCATAAACACAAATATAATATGTAATTTTCTCTGTAATAAGCCTTTACTCTATGTATTTTATAATCTCAAAGTATTATTAAAAAAAATGGTAAAAATTCCTACCGAATTTGTAATCTTTTTAAGGAAAAATAACGAATGTTTTTAATACCCAAATTCTAGAGGTCAGCGTATAAATATGTAAATAAGAAAAGATAGATGTTTGTATAAACATTGTTGTTTGTTTAGCCGGTGGTATTTTCCAATGTTCCCGGGGGATATATAGTTAATTCTTCTTTTATAAAAGCCATTTTTGAATAATTAACAGACACCTCCCGGCCTTGGTGGGGCTAGAGAGAGTGTCGACGCTAGTTAGATTGGTTGGAAAAAAGTATACAATTTGGTGCAGTTATTCCAGACTCGTTCATAAAATTTAATTATCTATTTTTATAAATATAAATATCGTATGTGATGCTCATTTATTTATATATTTATTTCTTCAAACAACATTATGTTACAATAAAACAAAATATTTTTCTACTTACCTATTGGGACAGTATTTATTTCATGTATATTTCAAATCATTTTTTCTTTGTTGCAGTGTACAAAGCAGCACAGAGAATGTACAATCAATAACACAATCGACAATCACGCTTGATAGAAAAGAGGATGACAAAGATGACGATTACAATCCCCTCGAGCATAGAGATGTCGTTCATCCCACTTCGTAAGTATTGAAATAAACTTAGCTATAAAAATTTCATTTATTTTTTATGGGCTACCCGATGGTAAGCACAACGCCCATTGGGGCCTCTGATAACCTCACTTACACGGCGAAACACAAGTAAGCGTAATTGTTTCACGCGGGTATTCTGTGAGGCCTTGGTATCTCACCAGGCGAGTTGGCTCATTTGCGCCGAAACAAGCATTGGTTGCCCACGTATATTATACTAATTTGTTTTTTAATTCATATTTATGCACATATCTGTATCGGATAACTTAATGCAAACAGGATTTTCTGACACTCATTTATTTCTATTAAAAAACACACATTGTTGTGATTGCATAAGAAAAAGTTTTTATTTTATATGACAGAACCTCGAATCCGCAGCTGCATCTATTGTCGATCATTGTATGAATTATTGTACTTTTTTATTTTAAAAACACATCTACTCAGAGGTAGGCATCATTACTTTAAGACAACAATTCCGTAATAGAATCAAATAGTCACTTTTATCTGACCCTTTCCGTCAGAGAAGGGATCTGATTAAAATAATATACGAGATCAGATTAGCACTTGAACCTTTAACATAAGGGGCTTAAAAAGAAAAAAGGATAAAGAATAACCGTTAATAAATCGTAGATATAGGCAGGTATGTAAGAGAAATTAAAAATTTCTGTCGTTTACAGATGAAGCGTTCTTTGTACTCTTTAGCAAATATCTGGTTTGTATAGGTACTTAGAAATAAATAAATTGCATTTTGCAACGTCCTTTAAAACTGTATTCTATTCATGAAATGTTCAACTTTCTGAAATGTCTTTTGTGTTTCTGCTTAGTACGAAAAATAAATCGCTTATATATTTTTGGTTTTGAGATTTTTCGTTTTCATTGAACTTTACTTTTGGATGGAAGAAATCTTTTGTTCCATTAGGGATTTCATCTCCTTCAGGTGCTAACAGACACAAGAGTTCAAATAAAAATAGCTCGTTTTGTAGTTTTATTTTGTCTTTCATTTAATGTCTTATTTTGTTTGACAATAAATAATGCACTAAGAGTTCAATTGAGAATTCAGTGTTCTTACATTTGCAGTGACTATTTAAACAATAAAATCACTTAAAAGTAATTAAATTTGTCATTATGTTCGTAATATTTGGTGGCCTAGAGGTTAAAGCGCATATTATTCAGATTTGACACTGAAGAAAAACATCGTAAGAAAACCTGGATATAATTTCTAATTATAAGTTTGGAATCTCCAATCCACTTTGAGAAAGCGTGGTGATTAATGCTCAAGCCTTCTTCGTATGAGAAGAGGCTTTGATGGTGTTGGATTTGAACCACAATCACATTTAGTTCTTCGCTATAATATTGGGTTTTTTTAGGGTTCCGTACCTCAAAAGGAAAAAACGGAACCATTATAGGATCACTTTGTTGTCCGTCTGTCCGTCCGTCCGTCCGTCTGTCAAGACCCTTTTTCTCAGGAACGCGTGAAAGGTATGAAGCTGACATTTATATCAATTACTCAGGTCTACTGTTCCTTGAAGCTGTGAAAAAATCAAACTTCTAAGCCAATGCAATCAAAAGATACAGCCGTTTATGCCGCAAATTTTCGACACTTACAAGGGAATCAAAACCTACAGGGTGCTTCCCGTGAATTCAGAATCTTGAAATTTGGTACGAAGCAACGTCTTATAGCATAGATAAAGGAAAAAATACGAAAGCTATAAATTTTAGTTACATCACATAATATATATTTTTTTAATAATTTTAAACTTACTACCCATTTCCTCATAAACGCGTAGAGGTATTAAATTGAAATTCATACCAAATACTCAGGTCTATCCAGGTTTATCCTTAGTCCTTTAAGTTGTAACAAAATCAAACTTCTATGTCAACGCAATCAAAGAAACAGCAATTTAAGCTGTATATTTTGAGACTCGCAGGTACTCGCAAGGGAATCAAATCCTAAAGGGTACTTCCAGTCGACCTAGAATCTTGAAATTTGGCATGAAGCAACGTTTTATAGAACACATAAAGGAAAAAAAAATATATATTTTTTTATAAATATAAACTTTTGCAATAAAAATACCATAGTCTGTTATGACTCGATTGTCATAATGAACGAACTTTGTAAACCTTGCAGGTTTGTACGGAACCCTCGGTGCGCGAGTTCGACTCGCACTTGGCCGGTTTTTTTCATCTAAGACAAGAATATTGTGTTTCATCAATGAATTTCGCAGTTAACCACGTTAAATCACGTCAACTCCAAGAGAAATGTTAAGCTACATCTTAATATGTCTTCAAGCCTAAATCTATAAAATATTTTTTCCCAACCAAGTGATTGACGTAATTTGCTCGCACCTGCATTCAATCAAGTGGTCAATTTAAAAATTCTGCGGATTGGGCTATTTCGCGCTATTGGACGGCTTTTACGCCGTCATACGCAAGCGAAGTGCATCGTTATTGTCCCGGGTGCGCGGCAGCCCCAGCGCCATCCTGGCCGCGTGCGGAGGCCGGTGGGATTCCGTACTAATAGCGCACTGTATAGGCTTACACGCGAAAGCAAGTGCCTAAAATATTTTCATTGATTTTGTTTTGTTTTGTTTTCATTTTTATTATACTGGTACTAACTTAGGCTAAGAACATTTTTACTAACAAATTATGGAAGCAATTCTGAAATAAATTATTTATTATTATTATTATTATGTTTGTTCTTTCCTTTCACGGGACCACAGGGTCCCGGACCTTTGGCAGGCATACGAGGAGCCGAAGCCAACTCGCAGAGGCCCGTTGAACAATTTTAATCTAAATGTGATGGGACATCAGCCGGCAATTATCCCTGTATGCACTATAAAAGTGCACCCAAGGACAATCCCCGGTTGATGCAGGACTATTGTAAAATGTGGTAACAATTGATAGGGTTATGGGTATGGGTTGCTATGCACTAGTGGATGAAAACTATGGAAATACTATGGCCCCTGCCCCTGACCAATATTGATACATACGGATAAACAGGCAGGGGGTGACTGGCAAACTCAATTAATGGGCCCCCGGAAACGGCCGCTAGCATGTAGCGACACGGGGGCAACATACGTTGAGCTGCTTGGGGAAGGAGAGGTATCCCACGGCTATCAGAGCAATAAAGAGCGGAAGTACGGTCAAGACCCCTACCAGCACCTTACTGAGATACACCCTTCCCCCGAGTCTCCTTCAACTCCTACTCTTGCGAATCTCCACTCAAGCCAGCCAATTAAGGCAAGAATGAGGTAGGAGGGCTTGTTCTTCATCAGTGTTCACTCCAGCTCGTCACGAGGACTAACCGGAGAGAGAAGAACAAGACACCTCCCGGGAGTCAGGTCCGTGGGGTCGCCACTGCCCAACAGCTCGCCACAAGCTGCCTTGCGGATTATTATATTATTTATTATTATTATTATTATTTCACAGTACACACAAAGGCAAAACAGAAGTTAAACAAACCAGTTTATTGTGATCTTGCTTTGTGTAACGTTTTTTCACATACGAGGATTAGTTTACACTGGACCTAATGCTTGATGAGTACCACAAAGTGTTGTGAGTCCTGCTAAGTACTAGGGTGCTATGAACTCAAGTTTTTGGTCTCATACTATTTGACTGTCAGAAAACCTGTGGAAAAGGCTACGGTACACTCCAGTCGAACCGACCTATTTCCGTTGAAACATGGCTCTCGCACACTTATAATGTCATGTTCTTTTTTTTGTTTTATTTTTTGTTAGGGGAAAATCTTCTAATGACTTCTCCCGCACAGGGGTAAGGCGAGAGAGTCAGACTCTTACTTACTAAAAATCCCCCGTTCCTTCTCCTGCTCTGGGCTGAGGTCGCGGTGCCTCATTGTGCTTACCGTACGTTCGGGTGTGGTTCTGGTCGGACGGCGAGCTACCCTTACTCGCCGTCCGCAGACCTGCGCTTACAGTGGCCCGAGAACATTTCTCGATCCCCGACGCCCGGAATGCCGCCTACTGCGGCGGCTGGAGCGCGAGGGTAATGTCATGTTCTTGAATTACTCATTACACGGGTAGCGGATTCTGTAATAAATTACGAAAATAGCCCCATATTCCACTACCGTGGTATTCATAAATAACCGCTCGAAACTGGTTAAGACGTAATAAACTTACCCTTTTAATAAACAAGGAGTAACGCAACTCAAGTTTAATAACTACATAATTTGTTCACAGGACTTTGGGTGCATTTTTCCACCTACTCAAGTCATCATTAGGGTCAGGTTTGCTTGCAATGCCAGCTGCCTTCAAGAACACTGGACTGATTCCTGGATGTATTGGTACAGTTCTGGTTGGAGTTATAGCAACACACTGCGTACATATATTAGTAAGTTTTCATAAATTTCCTGTTAAATTATCACGTACATCACACATGACATATTGGTGCTTATCCCAGTCCTTAGTAATTAATTTCAGAATGAAATCGTGATAAAATATTACTTTAAGTAAGCTAAGCACTGGCCACGGTAGGCTCCATCTGTGGTATTGTCTAATATTAACATATTATAAAATAGCTTCCTCCCGCGACTTCGCACGCGTAGTAAAGTAATATCCCGAGATTTTAAAAATAGCAGCGTTTAAAGCGATAACTCTACAAAAAATCGTAAATAATATAATTTATAAAATATAAATTATATTAAGTAACCATACAAATAATATTATAAAATCGAAAGTTTTTAAGTAAGGATGGGTTTTTGTTACTCTTTTACTTATAAAATACCAAAAAAATCTAAATAGACCGCCTAGTTGGAAATAACACAAAGATGCTTCTTTATATACTGGATAGCAGGAATCGCTTCTAAAAAATGCTAGTAGAATTCTCAAAGTAATATAAACCTGTTTATAAAGTAAGTAAAATTGAGAACCACCTTATTTGTTTAAGGTGGGTAAAATGATTACAATAAACTTTTACTAATATATTTTATTTTAAGATTTTTCAACGTTACCAACATTGACAAACTTACTAATACATAGGTTTATTGTTTGTTACTTAAATAGGTACACACATATTATACTCTTAAGGGCTAATCTAAATTAATAAGTGAATTGCAGCAAAGCGATGATATAAGAAGTGCATAACTTAATAAAACTAAACACTAAAACTAGATTCAATGGGAATTTGTTCCATAGTGTGTATTGAGTTTTGGTCTTATCGATAAACTCCAAAGTTTCGTGAATAGCTTCACAAAGGCAATTGTCTGAAAAAAGAGGTATTTATAACACATAAAATTATCATGTACTAGCGTCCTGCCCCTGCATGGCACGGATGACCACACTACCTTGGTGTCAGTCATTTGTTTTTTTAGCGAACCACTGCAGATCCGACAGGCTCACAATTTCCCTCTACTTTTCTAAAATGTTTTTTGATAAGAACCTTCTCCTGATCTTCGCGAACACCGGAAAATCAAGTATCAGAATCCGTTGAGCTGTTCACGTATGATGCCAAGATCAAAAATTGTTGTTTGAAAATTTAGGGATTGAAACCCACCCGGTTCGGGGGAGGGGAAGGCTTGTCGGCGTTAGTCAGCCATATACAACGCTGTGGTTATTTCACGCCGGGGAATTTGTGAGGCCGTGGTTTCACTCAGGTCGAATGAAATCAAACTCGAAAGTTGATGAATTTGCTATTTTCTATTGATAATTTTATCGGTTGAGGCTATAATATGCATTAGAACATGGAAAGCTTAGATATCCAGTACCCTAGTATTAAACTCAAGAAAACATAGAAAGAAGTGAATGGTAAAATTATATAGATACCTTTATATATCAACAATTGGATTGCTAGTTCCTTTTTTATGTCGTCCAAATAGCTAGAAGCTGTCTCCATTGTTATCAAAGGTATGAATAAACTGAACAAACTCAAAAATACTTCAAAAATCCACGGTGCTGTAAACGAGAGATTCTGTAATAAAAATTAATAAAACTAAATTTATTTCAAGCTTATTAAAACAGAGTATACAGAATATGTTTGATTTTGACCATTCTGCTGCTAATCACTAAAAAGTGTCCCTATGTGTGTTTAAATCTTTAAAATTACGCAACTGATTATGATGAGAGTTTTTTTTAATAGATAGGATTTAAAGTAAGGATATAGAACAATAACATCCATTAAATACTGGAGAAATTTAGTATCAGTATTGCACTCGTAGGGAAGCGGGGCTAGTCAATTCGTTTAATGTTTTTTTTTTATTGATAAGTACTCTTCAAAGCAAAGAAAATGAAAAAAAAAACCTACTTACAACGCTTGTGCAGGAGTTAAAATAGTAGACTATGAAAATGGACCTTACGAACTCACTTACAAAAGCGGTAATTGTCTGAAATATAAACCAGTAAATAATATCAATACCAATCCAAATAATACTATTTATATAACATTTATCCTAAGTTCAGTTATAAATTGTGTGTGTTAGTGTCAATATTAAACTACGAACGAATGGGTCGGCTCGACCACGGCCTCGCAGAAAACCGGCGTGAAATAACCAGAGTTGTTTTTCGCCGTGTGAGTGAGGTTACCGGAGGCCCAATCTTTCCCCTACCCCAATCCGTTCCCTTTTCCAAAATCTCCAAATCCCTTTCCCTAAAGGTCGACAACGAACTCGTATCTCCTTCGTCGTTGCGGGTGTCCATGGGCGGAATACTTATGTATGGGATGGAAGTTGGGCCTTAAGGGTACATATTGAGTATACAGCACTGATGATCAACCTTGGTGAAATTTGTTGTCTTTCCGCCCTTGGACACTCGTTAATGGACACTGTAGCATTTATAAATGCACTTTCAGCCCTTTGAGATTTATTAGGGATTTAATGATAGATGATGATCGAGGATCGAGGATGGGGGGGTCAGGCCTTCGATAACGTCACTCACATGGCAAAATATAACGTAAGTGTTGTCTTACTTGTATTCAGCGGCCGAGGTATCACAAGCCGTACCATTCTTTTTTAACTATAGCTCTCCCATATTTAAGTAATAGTACACATTACTGTATTGAATGGTAATTCTAGTGCTTAAAGAAAATCATATTCATACCTGAAGACGAATAACCGTAATCGTTGAAGACGTCGATTTAGATAATTTGCTGTAAGAGCTTAGAAATTGATTTATATAAACAGTTTTCTCAGAGTCCTTTATGTTATTTTTATGAAGTTGCTCTTTCAATGACTTGCATAATACTTGAACAGTGTTTTGATAACAATCTGACACGCAAACGAAGGTAAGACGACCACATAAAAATGAACAGAAACCAAAGATGTTCATAAACAAATCGATAGTTGCAAACTTGACAATATCAACCACGACAATGCTGAAACTTTTCGAGAGACATAGAATGGCTACCGTCAGACTCACAACGAAATATTTTTGTTTCACTGTAGGAAATTCCAAAGTCAAATCAGAAGAAAATTTTCTCAAATCTCTCTCTTCGTTGATCAGTGAAACTAAAATGTTTGCTGTTATTTCGGTTACTAAAACCGCGTCATACAAAGTTCCTGCGAAATCACTGTCAAATATTGGGTCGTCGAATATAATTGTATATGTGATAATTATACCGCAACACAAGATACAATAAAGCTTTCCTAGCACGTTAACTATCAATGAATTTGTGAATTTAAAGTAATATCCGAATGAAAACCTTAGCCAGAGGACTGTGTTTATTGACAAATGCGAATTAAGTTTTAAAATTCCTTTCAGAAATTGCATTTTAACACTGGAATTACATAAACGTTTTTTTATTTTCAGAGTTATACTTTTCCATGCATTTGAGGCTATACAAAAAGTAACTCGATCATTCGGATATATCGATTATTTATTTCAAGGTTCCATTGTTATATATCTATTTTAATTATCTTAAAAACTGTTGCATCGTCTGTTGTGGAAACCATTCTCATTAAATTTAAAGTCGAATAAATTCCAATCTTACTAGGAATTGATAAAGTATTTCATGTTGAAATAATACATTTAAATATATTATAAACGATTATACATAGAAATTAATAATAAATAAAGAGATATTAAAGCTTTATTTTTTATTCATCATTATTTTGAATTGTTAGTACAAAAACTGCAAAAGAGCGATCAAATAAGAAATAAGCAAATTAAAGAAACTCAAAATTAAACGCATGCTCAGTGGGTAATCGTTCCAAATCGTGTAATTTAGGGAAGACGCGTCTATAAGATCTACGGCGTCGTTTATAACATCTCCTATTGCTTCATCTGCAAGAAAAATAGTAGAAAATAATTAGGATTGATTGATTGATTGTGGATTGAAAAAAAGCAAATTAAGAATAGCAATAACACGGACAGACGGTAAAACAATGGTTAAAAATCGGACCCGGAGCCAACACAACGTGGCTTCACCGGGTCCAAATTGTTATTGGTGGTAAATTTTGGTATATAGATTTTATTTGGTGAATACCATACGCGTAGGCTAGAAAAATAGTTCTCAAAGTTAAGTCATTGGTATGATAAGAAAAGCCTATCCGAATTAATTAATTTGTGTAGAGTAGTACACACAAAAATAAAAAAGTTTACTAAGCCTAAATTTTTTTAGAAATAAAAGGCGAAAATTATTATTATACATTATAGCCTACCTTTATTCGAGACCATTTCGCTAACAAGTATTTTTTTCAAATCATCCAGGTAATCTCCTGACATTTCCATTAAGAGTGATGGTAATGAAATCATAATAACAGACAGCGTAATTTCTAAATACCAAAGCACAAAGACTGAAAGATACTGAAAAATAGAAGTTCATGTTTATTTCTTATTTAAAACATAAAAACATCACATTAATCCAAAGAATTTACCTACGGCTGCACAAGTGATCACGAAATCATAGGCCTACCTGACAACTCCCCATCTCAAACAAAAACAGGCCAGATACCGTTTCCCTTAAATATAAACCTTTAGCAATGTTAGGAATGATTCCGAAATCTGTTCGGCGTTGAAATAATATATTAAACTACCTTTACGGTTTCACCCGCTGCTCCATTTAGCCGTAACGTGATGTTTTATAGCATGTGGCACTCAGGAACATTGTAGCTATCTATCAGTGACAGAATTTTGGAAATCCAACCAGCGGTTTCAAAGATTACCCCCTACATACAAACTTACAAACATACAAACCTACAAACTTACAAACATACAAACTTACAAACTTACAAACTTACAAACATACAAATTTACAAATTTTAACTCTTTATAATATTTGTATAGAACTAACTTTCAGTGTAATAACGAAAAATAAAAAATGTTTAGTACGCTATAAATATGAAAGAGCGTGGAAGAACCCCGCTTTGTCACGACCCGGCTCGACCAGAGTGATTCAGCGAC